TATTTGGTTGACAATCGAGGTTACTGATTCCCCTAGTCTTATTGTCCTTACTGTCAACCGACCACCTAGGACAAACCAAATCGCCGACACTCAACTATTGGAGCAATTGGAGAAATTATCCAGTCGACCTAGCAGCATGATCATGGGCGACTTCAACGAACCAGGAACAAACTGGAACACCCTGCAAGCGTCAGGTCCAAAATCGTCATTCGATTATCGTCTGCTGAACAAAACATTAAGGGTGACTCTTGTTATGTATGCAAAACAGAAGGCTAATTGGAAATAGGATGTGTACTGAGTACGATAGACAGCACAAGTGAGGAGGCTTGTGGAAACGGCCGGGCATATGGCAAGGGGGACTGTCATAGGCTGATGGGTGGCCAATCAGCACAAAGACGGTGTGAACAGGGGGCCATGACCTTGATCGTTCGCTTGTCACGCGTTTGTGGCATGATGTCCTGACGGCCCGGGCAGGATACGCTGCATCCCTCCACCATAAAGTGGAGAGCATGAGGGGAGGGGAGGAGAACAGTATAGGTAATAGTGGATTGTCAGACAATGTTCTAATAAGATTCGTCCTGAAAGCGTTGGACAGGTTTGCGGTTTCGGGTCGATCTTCTCAGGGCGGTATTTTCTACCTCTGCGCCGCTTTGTGCAGTCACTGGCTCCTCTGCCCCTAAGCTAATGCTGGCCGGGGTAGAAGGAGGTGGAACATAAGCCTCGGTGGATGGCGTAGTGCCCTGTTCAGGAAGTAGGAGCTCAGTCCTCGGGATGTCAGGATCCCTATCAAGGTTTGCTGGCAGTTCTAACTCTCCGAATTCTCCACTTACTGTGTCCGTTTGGCTGCGAACTTGGTCCAGATGTCGACGCACAATTCTCCCACCTTCTAACTCTAATTCCACTATTTGACCCTCGCTTTTTCGAACTGCCGCTGGACACCAGTTCGTTTCGTGTTCCAGTCGCGTGTAGACACTTTCGTTGGGCGCGACGACTCGTGGTCGGGTGCTCACATCATATCGTTCTTTCATCTTTGTCTGTTTTGCAATGACTCTATCCTGCGTTGATGGATAAAGCAGGTCGAGTCGTGTGCGCAACTGCCGCTTGAACATCAATTCTGCAGGCGAAGCACCAGTTGAGTCCTTCGGTGTTATGCGATAGCTGAACAGAAAACGTGACAACTTGGCGGCCAAGTCCGCTTCTGTCTGTCTGGCTAGTCCGTGCTTTATTGTCTGGACTGCACTCTCTGCGAGGCCATTTGAAGCAGCGTGGTACGGGGCAGTAGTTAAATGTCTAATTCCATTTTTCTCCATGAAATCTTTAAATTCTGCACTAGTAAAGGCCGGGCCATTGTCTGAAACGACCATTTCAGGTATCCCAAAAGAAGAAAAGACGGTTCGCAACTTGTTGCTTGTAGTCAGTGAGGAACAAGAATTTCCTGTCGGAATCGCATCAATCCATTTAGTGTGGGCGTCCACTACCACCAAAACCATATGGCCTTGGAATGGCCCAAAATAATCGACGTGTACCCTCTTCCACGGCGAGTCGGGCCAGGCCCAAGGTTTCAGAGGAACCTTCGGTAAGGTCTTCTGTGTTATTTGGCACACGTGACATGCTTTCACCACGTTTTCTATATCTGCGTCAATTTTGGGCCACCAAACATAGCTGCGGGCGAGAGCCTTCATTCTAACTATACCAGGATGAGCATTATGCAAGTCTCTGAGGATGACCCGTCGGCCTTGTGGTGGCACAACTACACGATTGCCCCATAGTATGCATCCGTCGTGTAGACTTAACTCCTTCTGACGGCTGAAG